CTGACCTTTAGGTTCGCAGCCCGATTCGTAACCACTACGCTACCAGAGCTCCTTAATTAGGGATAGTAGTGTCACTTTATTCACAGGGTTCTTTGAAGGATTAAATGATATATTTAAAAGTGCTACATTCTAGTCCATGTCTGATAGATAGTATGTGTACAATAAATAAATGTTAGCTGTTTTTCACATGCTTTGGGAATTTGTGGGAAATTCAGGTTTCCCTTATATTTCAGAATTAAGTAGCGCCATTATTACTTGCCATGGGCATATCACAACATGAGCTTGTGTATAGACTCCTTTAACTTAGACATTACAGAATCACCATTTTGGGACTGTGCACAGGAGGCCAAGGCCGAGTTTTTGTTACCTCTCTAGGAAAATTTAGAGCTGGAGCCAAGGTCAGGTGAGAATTTGGCCTTGCTCTGGTGTCTTAGATGTAGAAACCATTGAGTGTTAGGAATTTATTTCTGTGACAGCAGTTATTTGATTAACCTAGAACTTCTGTGGAGTATTCTAATGCAAAGTGAAGACCTATTCTAAAATAGATACTGTGACTTATTAGGGAAATCACTTTTGAGTGAGTAGTAAGATAATTTGGTCTTGATGAAGGTCTTTTATTATGATCTAGTAGGTACTACTTCTATAAAATGCAAAAGGACTTCAAAAACTTCATGGGAAAAAAAATCCCTTATGTTTTCATCCATTTTTCAACACACTTCTTCAAGCTCCTTCATATAATCCTCTCCATTGTTGTTGTTGTTAAGTGCTGTCGAGTCGGTTCCAAACCATGGCAACCCTGTATAGCGTTTCCAAGGAGTGGCTGGTGAGCTTGCATTTCAAACTTGGCTTTGCAGTCCAGTGCATTAGCCCACAGCACCACACCAGGGCTCCAATCCTCACCATAGCACTTAGTTTATTTTTCTTCATCACTTAAAGTACCATTAGTAAATTATCTCAAATTCCTTTTTCTTTCCCCCCTATTCTTGTTTTTCAGATCTTCAAAGCTCCTGCGGGCATTCTATATCCCCTTCCTGTCAGATCAGTATACAGTGTATGCAAACTACACCATCCTCAAGCCCCGGAAAGCAAAGCAAGTCAGGAAGAAAAGTGGAGGTTAGCAACACACCTGTGGCCCCAAAGGACAACCCTCTTGTTAACTGCTGATTCCACTGACATGACTCCATTCAACTCATCGCTTGTAGCATTTGTAATAAAGCTCTCTGACAGCAGTACTGGAGTCTGGGTGCTTTGGGCTCAACAGAGGCAATCACATTCACTTCTTACCTGTGTCTCCATTCTGCGTGTAAACTTTTTTCATATAGGCAGAGAAAGGACCAAAAGCATGGGTAAATATATTGCTCTAAAGCTTACTGTTTTTCTCCTCTTCATTTATTTACTAGACTGGAGAAGAGCAGAACCAACTTATAAGAAGAATTGAAAATCCCTGGAATGGAGGGCTATGTTAAACTGTTCTCCACACTCTGGCCTACCATCAGGGAACTAGCAAGCTTCTCTTGGGCCATATGGGCTTCTCTACCAAAGCTGTTTGGCAGCGCCTTGCAGACTGTGTTCAAATCCAAGTGCTGAAAGTGAGCACAGCCTAGTTGCCAACCCACATGTCATTTTCACCTCCAGCAAGATAGCTTCTGTAAAGCGCTTCACAGGACTAAGACCCTGTCCTGGAGAGATCTCAGGAAGACACAACATGTGAGGAACTGTGACCGAATTTTATTATAATGCTTCTAATTTTCATCTTAATCTCTTTACAAAAATTATAACTTCGTGGGTTTTTAAACATTTTTTTTTTTTAAGTTTAAGCATTCTATTTCTTGAATTCAAGGCTCCTCTATAAAAGTATCAATCACTGGAGGATAAGCACTGGACTGAACTGCTTAACTGCAAGGTCCGCAGAAGAAAGATGGTATTTTCTGCTCCCGTAAAGATTTACAGCCTCGGAAACCCTTTACAGGGTCAGAATCAACTTGAATGCTGTGGTGGGGTAGGTTTAAAGGTTGCAATAGACCAGGCTATAACTCTATAGGGAACATTTAGAGAAAATTCTATCAATTGGTAGATTTAGATGACATCACATTTTTAAAATTGTATTCTGAGACTATCTATGAGGAATTGAGAGTTTACTTTTCTTTCAATGACCCAGTGAAAAGGACCCGTGTATATATTTATACAACCTATTTTTGAGTTTGATCTCCTGTAAAGCACATACTACATGGGGCACTTCTAGTCAAGTAGGCATTGATAAGGACCTAAGTACACTGTAATAGATGTGGCTTGCTGTTCCCACAAAGAAATTACAGCCTCAGAAACCCTATACAGGGTGGCTATAAGTTGGAACTGATTCGCTAGCACGTCACGACAACAACATGCTGTTATAATATAAGTATATCCTATTTATATACAGCATTTTACAGTTCACTAAGAACTTTCTTATCCATTTTCTCACTTAATCCTCACAGTCATGATGTGAGGTAGACAAGACAGGTGGTTTTATCCCCATTTTACAGATGAGGAAACTGAGACAGGTAGGGGAATAAAGTCACTTGCCCAAGGTCACAGAGCCAGTACGTAACAGAATCCCAGCTTTATTACTTACTGTGAACCATGTTGCCTAATTTGTCAACTAACACTCTTTCATATTGTCTCACTCAACTGTGAAAGCATTACTTGATAGAATGAGAAGACTGACCAGTCTGGATTGAATTTTACCTACATTTTCTCTGAGTTTTTGAGTTTCAACTCTGCCTGTGAGTTAGACTATCATAGACGGGCTGATGATGCAGGCTGGCCTGTGACAGGAACATTGTGCTTATGTTTGGGGGTCCTCCTTTGTAGCCCCACAGGATCTAATATCAGTACCTTTCCTTTAGCAAATCTGGGATCACATCTTAGGTGCCTTATTTCCCTAAGGATAATTATTTTTAATATCTATAAATATTACCAGTTTAGTTTTTAGAGTTTCTATCCTTCATTTTTCAGAGATGGGATTTTCAGCAGGAATTAATCTCAAAACAATTCTCAAGAAGAGAAGTGATCAGGGAAGGAATGGTTAGTTACCATGTAAAAAACTTACTCTTTGGGATGCCCTATAAACAAATATCTGGGACAGAGTTGAAACACTAGCTAGGCAATTGGTTTATATAATAGAGACCGATAACTGGAGAGTGAAGATAAATTGGGTTCCCGTTTGCTGTTTTAAAGATTTCTGACATTTAATTCTAAATACTTGATTTTCTTTTCCATGGTAAACATTGATACATGATACAGGGGAGTGAGTTTTAAGGACAGTCTCTTGCCTGATCTATAGATTACTGTCCACTTGCTGCAGCAGTGAATTAGAGTTCAGCACCATAGGCCCATGAGTAGTGGCTTTTTCTAATCAGAGTGCTTCAGTACTGATCTATTTGGTCATCCCACTTGTTAAAACCAACCAACCAACAAACAAAAAACCCTCTTCTGAGTGAGAATTGTAATACAGCACAAAAAAGGTCATGATTGATCCAGGGATTCCTTGGAAATATCAGTTTGTATCTGTTTTAAAACCTGATTCTGGTTTTCTTTCTCGTGTGTATATCTTTAGTGAGAGCACAATAAATTGCAGAGGCCCCTGGATGATGCAAAAAGTGTGTCCTTGACCACTAGCCTAAATGGTGGCAGTTTGAACCTGCAGTGCCCTGTAAGACAGTCCTGGCGATCTGCTTTCATAAAGATTACAGCCAAGAAAACTAGTGAGCAGTTCTCCTGTAACATGTGGGGCTGCTGCGAGTCAGAACCAACCTCACAGCAACAGATTTTGGTGCCAAGTGCTATAGATTGGAGACACAAAAATGAATGGGACTGAATTGGGTGCCCTTTGGGCATTTATCAGCATCACCAAAGAAGCCCATAACACACGCTAGCAGGATGAGAGCGCGGGAATGCTTGTAGTACTGCTGAAAAGAGCAGTGTTCTGATCGGGGAACTGCTGTATCCTGAGTTGTTTCTGATCCTGAATGTACCCTGTTTATATCCCTTATAATCCCCATAGTCATGGGGGCAAAAAATAAATAAAAGAATGGCATTTGTTGTTAAGGAGTTTTTCTGTGATGTTATACAAGCATTTAAAAATCGGTGTCTTTTAGCAATACAGAGAGGCTAGCGTAGCTGGGAAGGCACCTGGTTAGAGTAGCATTTCTCCTCCAAAGACTCTGCCTTCTGCATGAGCTGACTGCTCTGCTCACTGTAAGGATAAAGTATCTCAAGTACTTGCTTCTCTAGATTGTTGCCTATCAAGGAATGAAGGACTAGATATTATGTGCAACTTCCTTTGATGCAGGGCTGGGTCAGGGAGTAGGTAGGTGTGCTTTGGAAACCCAGGGTTCTCTAATTGCTAGATCTGAAGCAGCTTTATTTGCACTCCAAATTGCATGACACTGATTACCACAACTGAACCAGACCATGCAGTAGGAGGTATCTATTATCAAAGTGTACCTCTCACCTGGGAGGTGTCATCTAATAAGAAAGAAGACAGGTCGTTTTAATTTCTTAGGATAATCACAGAGAATTGGAGCCCATCATCATTATTTTTTTAATTCATGTGTAGAAACAGATTTCTAAATCAAGGTGGCTCTTGATTCCAACCATTTATTTAGGTCATTTTTCCTAGTCTGGAGTTCTGGGAAAGAACCTTGTAAAGCCTATGTGATTCTGCATCTTTAGATCTAGGGAGATCACTGGGCCAAAGCACCAGTGTTTTATATTTCATGGGATTCACTGAAATCAGAATTCACTGTGATTGTGCAGTGTGCTGGCCAGTGTCATGCAGCTCTGCTTCTAAATTGGTTAATTTAATTTTCTCTGAAGAGAGGAAAGAGGCACAGTTTAATTTCTGCCTCCACAGACATATTAAAGCTTATGTGTTAATTCATTCTTATGCTTCTACATTAAATGCCTTGGGTAAATGGGCATATGCTCAGCTTTAATTTTTTTTTTTTTTTTTGCAGCATGGCTGAATTTCAGACTCTCTGGTGTGTTGATAAATCTCAGTGAATGCTGCCTTTAACTTTTCCAATATACATAACCATGTGATTCATGCTGCAAATCAAATCAGGAAGCAGTACAGTATTGAATAATCCATTTGTCTTTCTGATCCCTGTACTGGATTTCACATGTTCATATTACATAGTACTGGAAAGAATAAGTTAAATAAATCTTGGCAGTTTGATTTTCCTGTCCTTACGATGTCCTTTTTCTGCTTTGCTTTTACCTTTTAAATCTATATTAGAAATTAAAAACTGAAGGAACTCTCTTTCCCTTGTTTCCCCCATGCCTTCTGTAAGCCAAATAGTCCACTATGTTTTTCCTGAAAACTTCAGGAAGAAGCCTTTATGGAGCCCAATGAGGTTAATTTTCTTTTACCTTTAGAAAAACCAGTAGGAAGTATTTGATATTTTGCCTAAAAGAGATAAAATTCATGTGTTCATCTTCATTTTTGGATTAAGAAGTTCTGAACTGTGATGATTCCATTATATCAAACATTTAGATAATGTCTCCCTTTGTTGAACATTGTTAGGAGCAATAAAACTGGTTTTTGCAACTAAATTCCTATACCTTGTACTTTATATCCAATAACTTGTAGTTGCCATTTGGTTTTGTACCACTGGTTATTTTTCTTTCCATACTACCCAAAATGCCCTTAATTTTTGTGTGTGTGACTTTTTATTGTGAATTGAGTGAAGCTTTACAGACAAGATCATCAGTTTTACATTCAACAAGTCATACACTTTGTTTTATCTCCATGATTACAATCTCCTCCATGCAGAAACAGTTCTCTTGCTTCCTCCCTGTGATTTCTATTTCCATTCCTTCCACCTTCCCATCCCTTCTCAACTTTGTCCTTAGGTAAATGTTGCCCTTTAGATCTTGAATGGTTGACCATTCCTTGAGCAAACCTTACTAGTGTGTTGCTCCCCCTTATACCTATCTACTGCTTGGCTGAAAATTGGGCCACGACCTCAAGAGCCACAGTCTCAATTTTCTCCAGTGTCTTTCTGACAACTAAACCCATTTTTGGATTTTATTTTTTATAATTTTGAGCTTTGTTTTACATTTTCTGGTGTTCTAT